AACAAGTCCAGTCTAGTGCCTTGGAGATGGGCTGGTGTGGAAAGACATGGAAACCACTTCTCCAAAGAGGAGAGCTTTCCAACACCCAATAGCCAGAGCAAGCTTCTCAAAGTCCAAATCAATGGCTTCTCTTTGCACTTAACAAGAAAACCCCAATTCTTGCACTGACCTCCAAGGGCCCATGGGATCGGACTGCTGCCTGTCTCTCTGACCTCATCATTTACGGAGCCTTCCCTCAGTCATACCTTTCCACCACACTGAACTTCTTTCAGCTCCTCTGACACTCCAAGCACATCCCACTTCAGGGCCTTTGCATCTACTGTTTTGCCAGATTTTTGCATGACCTGTTTTCATCATTCAGGTTTCTACTCAGATGTCAACTCTTAAAGAAGCCACTACAATCCATTCTATTGAAAAGAGGGCAAATATTCCATCTCCATGCTATTGCTTTGTAATATTTCATTAGTAGCACATATCATTATCTAAAATGATCTTACATATATATTTCCTTGTTTAAAGTGTGTTCCCTCTATTCCCAGCTCTTCCCGACTGGGATATGAGCTTCTTAAAAACAAAACCTTTGGTAGCCTTCTCAGCTGTATCCCCAGTATCTAGAACCATGCCTGGCACATAGTAGGTGCTGAAGAAATATTTGTTGAATTAAGGAATGTGTGAAAGAATTATCTCACTCTGGCTCACTAGAATACAATTTAAGATAGGGTGCGTTCAGAGGTAGAACAAAACTTCTTTCATTTCTGGCCTCTCCTAAGGCAAAGGTAGTCAACACAGGACCCTAACTTTTCAGAGTTTATGGAGGGAGTGGTCCCTGTAACATTATTTTAGAGATGAGAAATTCTATAATAAATTCAATCTCCCATCTAACAAATATTTATTGAACCCATGCAATGTGCAAGTTCAACTCTAGCTTCTGACAAAGAACAATGAATAAATGGACACAAATCTCTGCCCATGAGAGTGCCGACATGGAAGACATGGCAGGCTTTTAAGAGAACACAGGGCTTACAGTCGGAAAGGCCTAAGTTTTAGGCCCTATATCACCATATACCAAAAGTCTGCATAAGCAAGCTACCTGACCTCCAGGCATCTAACTTTCCTCCTCTATAAAATGGGCATAAAGCTGACCTCATGAGATTATTGAGAGGATTCAGAATTGCTGTACCCCTGGCACCTAGCACTTGGTGGTCGCTATTGACATGATGAATGTAGGGCTCTGGGCAAAAGGAATGAATTAATGGAATTTTTTTTCCTTCCACTTCCCCTTGTGATTAAACATCTCATCATATACTTTAGAAGTTTTCAAGTGATCTCAAAAAGAAAAAAAAGAAGAAGATTTAAAGTGATTTCACACCACAGAGCCACAAGCACAGGCTCCAACCAGGATCAGAAGGTGTTAGTTTCAAATGAAGAGTGTGTAATGAATTCAGGCTCCTCCTCGAGCCTTGATTCAAAGCGGCCTGTGCTTCTGGCCCCTCGTCTGTGCTTGAGAGCTGATCTGTCATTAATGCCCACAGCATCAGGCAGGGGTGCACTTGGCTGACTCTGCTGGAGTTGCCATGTTATACAGATGGAACATGTCAGGGCACACCCAGCGTATGCAACATCCAACTGGCATCTTTCTGTTTTCTGTGATGTTATGCCTTTGACATGTAGCAGTCCACACGAACCTTGTGGATCAAGAAGCTTCTTAGGAAAGAAGGTGATTTGGTTTATTCTATTGCACAGCAGGATGCCCTGAGTAACCAAAGAGTGTCACTGCACGCAAAGACAGACAGACACCTTCTTAAAGCCGAACAACTGGGAAACTAAGTTTTCGATGAAGACAGTTATTTTTCATGCTTCTGAACAATGTGGGCACTGTTGTCACTTTTCCTACCTGCCAGCAACTGTTCCTGAATAAAAGAACTCTCCCGGCATGCTTTGTTCCAAGAGGTACACACTGGACTTACTGAACAGCGGCATGTTGTTAACCAAAAGCATGTTCAGTGGCAGAGCCTCTTAGCTGTTCATCCCAAGCTGTGATTGGGAGCGGTGGTGTGTCCATAGATAGTCATAGGTAGGCGGAGTCATCATTTCCTCTGTCCAGGTCAGGAATTTCAATGAGCTAATCTGCATAGCTTATCTGGACTTCAGTCAGCAACAAGACAATACTAATAATAGCTGCTATTATCGAAGGCTTTCTGTACTCTAAGTCCTTTACACAAATTAATTGAATCCTCACCAAAACCATGTGAAGTAAGGAATATTTTTATCTCCTTTTATAGATGAGGCAACTGAGGCATAAGACCCTGCTTGAGGTCACAAAACTAGTAAGAGATAGAGCTGAGATTTGAACTCAGGCTTTCTGTCTCCTAAGTCCCCACTCTCATGCTTGCATCCTGGCAGAGCCAGATGTAAGCCCTTTAGAGTACTGCCTTATCTGTCCTGCTCATTGCTCCACCCCTCGCACCTAGCACAGAGCCCAGAATGCAAGGACAGACCGCATACCTTAGTTTTCTCAGAGAGTGCTCCCAATTACAATTCTGAACTGCCTGATAAAGCTCTAAAATGAATGGGTTTTAGAGTCCCTGTTTTTCCTGACACCAAAGCCTCCCACTTCCAGTCCTGGACCCACCACACAGACAGCACCAATTTCATCCAAGAATAAAATCTGTTACATAACCAGATGGCAGACATGGGGGTGAATACAGAAGCAACCTGTGAGTGCATTCGGCCACTCCTAGTCTCCAAAGCACAGCTCCTAGAAAGAACTTTTCATCTCTCTCTGAGCCTCCCTCGGCATGCAAACTTTCCTTCATCTCCTCTCGTTGGTGCTTTCTATATTTTATTTTATTTTGGTCGTGCGCATTATTTGAAGTTACTATAGCAACGTGTCACCAGCTGGTATCACATAGTAATGTTGGCATTTAGGTAGCAAGCTTCCGAAGTTGGCTGTTTTTCTCCCTCTGCGATCTCATCACTCCTACTAATCTTAGGTGAGTGGGGGATGCATGGGCAGCACCCATGTCCCTCGCCCCTATTTTGTTTGTTTCCAAAGGCAGGGCAAACTGGTAGCCTTTCCCTCAGTTCCCTTGGCACTGCAGGGGTCCTGGCTGTGTGTGTATGTGTAGGTGTGTTTGCATTAGAGGTTGTTAAATAGATATGTTTAAGCTGAATGTTGTACACTAAAATTATTGGCATTATCAATATGATGATGATGATGATGATGATGATGTCTTTTTTAACAAAAGAATGGAATTATTTGGGAAGAGCTAATCTCCTGATCACAATCACCTAGTATCCCAGCTAATTAATTCTGGTCACATAATATTGGATTTCTCTTTTTTTCCCTCATCGTCACACAGTGAACAGACCCTCACTCTTTCCCTTTGGAGCTTCCAAGTGTGCAAGACCTCCCTATGTCCCGATGGGCTGAATTAATTGAGAGGATTGATTGTCTTGGATCACTGAAGAGGGGTCTGTACAGCAAATAAGCCCTGCCACTCAAGGTGTTAAGTAGCCCCTCATCAGCCAAGTGCCTGTGATGATTGCACTTATTTTTACACGTTTGACCTAGTTTCAAACCGTGTCTCTTCATGCTGTGATTCATTAGCCACGTTTTAAACCATCCCAATCGGGGCGAGGTGACACTGCCTGGTTTGTGCCAGAGTCTCAGATACAATTTCTCCCTGGAATTTAATATGCAAGTCTCCCTGGAATTCTGTTTTAAGAAGCAATTTCCCATCCTGGCATGCTGCTTGGGTATGGATGAGTGGCTGCCTCATTCCTAGGTAGTAAATATGTCGATTACAGAATTTCTGCCAGGGATGAAAAGAAGGGGATTCTTGCTAGCCTGGAGACTACAAGGGATCCCTCCACCCCTCTGTCCCCCATGTAGTATTCAGGCTTTTCCAGGTTTCTGACAGGGCTGGGAGTTCAAGCTCCTACACTATAAAGTTTGAACAACGTCACTGTTAGGGCTGTCTAAGTTGCTAGGGCAAATGCAGTCTGATCAACATCCCCTCACCCCCTATTCCTATGTCTCCTTCTAAAAATTTAAGATGTGGTGGATATGGAAGTAAGGTCTCAAACTTTTATAGAGGGGCAGGACACAAATGCCATTTTTGAGGAAACTACTGAAAAAGAGACACACGTCAGAGAAGTAAAATGTTATTCCATGATTCTATCACTGTGTGACAAAAGAGGTGGTTTTTAAAATCCAAATGACAGAAAGGAGACTTTTCTGAACACAAAGCTGCTGCTGGTGTCTCACTCCGTTTCAGGTTATCGATCAGTCGCATCGGTGTGATTTCCCACAGATCTGATACCAAAGTGGGCTAGACACCATAGCAGAAAAAAAAGATGCTTCTAGTCGGAAGTAAAACACTGTCACTTTTCATTAACAGCCAAATGCAGGTAACTTGTCCAAACTTCAGTCACATTGCACTGCAAATCGTACTGAAAGGCATGCAACCGGGTTTTTCTACGTGGTAGTGAGAACTAAGAAATTAACAAGCTGGTAAAAGTAATTTTGATTGATCAGTGAACTACAACACACCGACCAACTCCTAATAAAAAGATAATGGTTTCTTTCATAAAATAGCCACTCTCTCTAGATGGGGACTGGAATCCCCCTCCCTTTTTATCTTCTAAAATGAAGAATGGAAGTTTCTCTAAACAAGGCTTAAGACAATGCATCCTTTTCAAGCCAATTCCAGGCAACTTGAGAGCCAAGGTTTGTTTTTCTTCGCTTTTTTCCCCTTTCGAATTCAAATCAAGCCATTGGAAATAACAAGCATTCCATGTCTATGCATTTGAGAAGCCTGCAATTCTGACAGTGGTGGATTTTCCGCTACATACCACCACACACACACAGACAAGCTCCCAGTCTCACTGTTCATTCAAGTCAAAGCTTTAAAAGTAAACTATTGTCCAAGAGATGATCGCATTTTCTCTTAGAGGACCATCGATCATAAAAAATAAAACCTACACACATCTCTTACCTTGAAGCAGTGGAATTACCTGCAAAGGATGGTCCCCCTTCCTTGCACAATGAGCCAGGCTTTGACCAGCAGCAAAATTACTCCAAAAGAAGGAATAATAAGTCCTTTATGTTGTAATTTTCACTGTTTATATGCAAGAAGTGTAGTGGGTCTGCTCACGTAGGAATAAATAAAAAGCCGAACAAACTGCTCGGCAGCTACCATGTGAAAAGAAAAGACCTCTAGTGGCCACAGGCTGAATTCTTTAAGGAAGGGAGAGGAGAGATGGAGGGAGCAGCGGAAACACACGCTCCCGTGTGTGTATAGACACACACACACACACATGCAGGCACACACACATGCACATACACACACTCCTACACCCCTCAAATGCTAAGGTTTCTCCTTTCTTGCATTTGGCCTGGCTGGAGGTAGAAACGAGAATAATGGTTTTTTCTTGATGTAAGTGGGAGCCGGTTAAATTAGTGACGGCGGTGTTCTGTCTAGTTTGAAAGGGATAATTTCACACACTCACTACTACCTCCTGGGGGCCTGAGCAGGAAAACAAATTTGACTCTGGCTCTTCAAGGAGGTGCCACTCGGTGTAGAGGCTACAAGTTCCCATCAACAAAGCATCATCAGCCATTGTCCCTGAGAGTCTCAGCTTTGTGATCTCCTCCGGATTTGCATGTTTTCTAGTCATTTATGGTGTGTGGGTGTGGTGGTCACTTGGCAGAGAGAGCCAGCTTCCTGGGCTTGTAACCTTCGCAGTCATGACAGGCACCTTGCTTAGAAGGGCTCCATGGCTGTTTCAAAACGGAATAATTTTAAACAAGGGCTTTGCATTTTTACTTTGTTCTGAGACCTACTAATTATATAGCTTTTCCTGCTGACAATGAAAGCATGCTATCCCTAACTTCCCAATTGGAAAGAACCTAGAAACAAATGAAAATCCGTATCATGGGAGCTACTTTTGGGAGTGTAAGCTTACAAAACAGTTTTCCAAAAGGCTTCTTGTTTCTTTACCACTGGAACGAAATTGTAAACCTGGGAGGAAATATATACACATGAATATATACATACAGGCATACCTCGTTTTATTATGCTTCACAGATACCTGTTTTTTACAAATTGAAGGTTTGTGGCAGCCCTGCATTGAGCAAGTCTCTTGGCACCATTTTTCCAACAGTCTGTGCTCACTTCGTATCTCTGCATCAAGTTTGGAAATCCAAGCAATATTTCAGATTTTTTTCATTATTATTATACCTGTTATGGTGATCTGTGACAGTGACCTTTAATGTTACTATTACCATTATTTTAGGGCACCATAAACAAACTTCACGAAGGCAAACTTCACTGTTCTTTTTTTAAGAAACTGCCACAGCCACTCCAGTCTTCAGCAACCACCACCCTGAACAATCAGCATCCATCAGCATCGAGCCCAGACCCTCCCCCGGCAAAATGATTCGTATTTACTGAAGGCTCGGATGATCATTAGAGTTTTTTTAGATCATTTAGTTTTTTAAATTAAGGTTTATGTTCTCAAATTAAAATTTATGTTTTTTTAAACATAATGCTATTGCATACTTAATAGACTACAATACAGTGTTAACATAACTTTTATATACACTGAGAAGCCAAAACATTCATGTGACTGGCTTGATTGTGATATTCACTTTATTGTGGTGATCTGGAACCAAACCCATAATATCTTCAAGGTATGCCTGTATATATTTCATATTTTTTATTAACAAAAGAAGAACTTTATATATATATATATATATTTTCTCACAGGGAAGTTTTCCATGGTCCTCTCTCAACTATTTGTGGTATTTTTCTTCATTTCTTGCAGAGTCACTTTGTGGCATGTATGACAGCCATCTTAAACCTTATATATATATATATATATATATATAAGGCAGCAGTTTATGGTAAAAAAATGCTTTTTTTTTTTTTTTTTTTTTGGTTCAAACATAATACTTCCAGCCAGGCCATCTTCCACAAGCCCGTGCTTGGCTGGACCACAGTGGAACTTCATTTGGCCAAGATGGCAGTCCCAGTGGAAATGTGCAAGATACAGTCAAGAATGACTTCTCACCCCTGGTGGATTCGTGGCTAGTGCTTTGTTTACTAGGTTCCGGAATAGATCTCCCTGAGTGCTGCTTGCAGACACTGAAAACTCACCCTGATATGGACTGATAAAATCTGGGAAAGAGGAAGCAGAAGAGGCTATGCTGATGTCTTCTGGTGCATGAAAGGGTGTGGTTCCTCCTCTGCTCCCAGGGTCTCCTCTCTGTGTCCCTGCTTTGATTGCCCTCTTGTTTGAATCTTTCTGGTACTTAGCTGGCTTTGCAAATTGAGGGTCTTACTCTTTTTCTCTCATGGGTTAATCTTCCTTTCCTGACTAGATATTAACTCACAAACAGCAAGGGCCATCTCTTCTCATTTCCTTCATCCCTCTCAGCCCTTACCAACTGGCAGGTCCCAGGAGGTGCTGGGTTGCCACTGACTGATTCCTGGTGATCCAACTACGGATTCCTCTGCAGAGAACTTTAGTGCATTTCAAGGTGCGAAAGGAGCCATCTGATTGGTTTGGTACTCCTCTAGAGGTAGATTCAGATGATTTATTGTCCCATTTGACAGATGAGACAATTGGGACTTACACATGTAAAATTATTTGTCATAAAATGAAACTGTCTCCATGATTTTGATATAGGCTGAATTTCCTGACACAAGTACAGTGCTCTTTCCCCAGTGTGCGAACAGCAGGAGAGGTAATGGATCAGGTGTTATGTTTATGTTTGGCACTCCTATTATAGTCCCAGGCATATAATAGTACTCAGTAAATACTTTTTTGAGGAATGAGCCATAAGGAGACATTTTCTCACAGGGAAGTTTTCCATGGTCCTCTCTCAACTATTTGTGGTATTTTTCTTCATTTCTTGCAGAGTCACTTTGTGGCATGTATGACAGCCATCTTAAACCAGATGGGTGACCAGCACTACTCCTTCTACATTGAGACCTTCCAGACCAGCTCTGAACTTGTGGTGAGTCTGTAGGATGCTGGGGGCGAGGAAGAACTCTTTCATCTCTGGAACATGCCTTCTGTCCCTGTCAGAGAGACCTGAATGTCTACCACATAATCTAGATATGACTTAACCAATATGTACTGATGAATCACAGACATTTCAGGGTTTAAGAGCGTGAGTGTTAGAGTCATACAGTCTTAGGTTTGCATCTAGGATTTGTCACTTGCTAACTCTGTGACCATGGGCAGGTGAATCTCTTTTATTTGTAAAGTGGGAATAATATAATTTATGTCGTACGGCTAAGAAGGGGTTGCATGAGAAGACAATAGCTCTCATGTAGTAAATGCTCAGTAAAATAGAGCTCTTATTAAAATCACAAATGCCTAGAGGAAGTTGGCCTCTGGGCCCCCTTCTTCTAGCCTCTCAGGAGGCATTTGCTGCAAGACCATCTGCCCGTGGCCTCTGGCTTCTATCTCTGAAGCTGATGACTTCATTAACATAGAGCCCAGCCCAGGCTATTCCTGCCCCAAGGGTGGAGCAGAGCACCCTTTGCCCTCAGTGTGGCCACCTTTCTCACTGTCTTGTCGCTACCAGGTTCAGGAGTCCCACTGCTTGAGGTCACTCTCAACTCTCCCTAGAGAGACCGGGGCACCAAAATGGGATCAACCTCAGAGAGAGGCTCATAAAAAAAAGAAAAGGAATCATTAGAAAGTCAATGCCCTACCCCTTCATCCATTCAGTAGTGAGATGTTCTCTCCATTGGAGCAAGACTGGCAAGAAATGGAACCTTTCTCTCAACCTCCAATTTCCCTATAGCTTAAGACATGGAAATAGAAAAACTGGACTCCTAATTTTTGATCCTCTATGGAAGGAAAGGTCTCTGGGGGAAGAAGGTAAGAAATGGAATTCTTATTGATTGAACATACACATTTTCTTACATAACCTTCACAAAAGTATGACATGGGAATTAGGAGTCACATTTCACAAGTCTACAATCTGCTTGCTCAAGGTCCCATAGCTAGTATGTGGCGGAGGTAAGGTCTGGACATTGACTGTAACCCTTATACCACGCTATCTCTTCTCATTAAGAAGCCACTCTTCCCATCTATGAGCCAGGGACCTTCTTCATTTCCATAGGAAGGGGATGTGCCTGTGATGAGAGCCACACTTCCCCACGTGACATCAATTATGAATAATATAATACTCACCATCATCATCATCACGTCATGAGAATTTGTAAGAGACCAGGCTCTGTACTAAGCATCTGATTGGCAGTATACACTTAAGCTTCACAGTCACCCTTTGAAGTAGATATTATCCCCATTCTGCTGATGTAGAAACAAGGACTTAAAGTATTGAGGTAGTTTTCCCTAGCAACAAAGATTCCTGGAAAAGAATAAATGCCATTTCCAGAATTTTGCAACTTAGCTTAAAGCAGTGATTTTCAAAGTATGTTCCTCCTATCCTCACTATGCTTTACCATAAACGTGCACACACGCATGCATGCACACAAACACACCTGCACACACACACACACACAATTCCACCAGAGCTGTTCTACCTTTATATATTTTATATATTGGGCTCCAGGTAAGACTTTCTTTGAACAAAGAATTCTGCTGTTAAAATAATTTGAAAACCACCAACTTAAGGAAACAACTCTGGACGAATTTCCTGTAGATTTTGAATTTTACCTAAAGCACACTGGTGGTATGACTTCACTACCTCCAACTCAAAAGGGTCTCAGTGCCAGTGATTCTGGTCTTAGCTATCTGGATTTGTCCTTATTTATTTTTTATTTTTTGAGACAGAGTCTCGCTCTGTCACCAGGCTGCAGCACAGTGGTGTGATCTTGGCTCACTGCAACCTCTGCCCCTCAGGTTCAAGTGATTCTCCTGCCACAGCCTCCCGAGTAGCTGTGATTACAGTGTGCGCCACCACGCCCAGCTAATTTTTGTATTTTTAGTAGAGACAGGGTTTCACCATGTTGGCCAGGATGGTCTCAATCTCTTGACCTCAGGATCCACCCTTCTCGGCCTCCCAAAGTGCTGGGATTACAGGTGTGAGCCACCGTGCCTGGCCTCCGGATTTGTCTTTAATTTGTATTCTCCAAAGATGAAGAAAAAGTTTGGCTCACTGCAAAATCTAGGGAGGGTGCTGAAGTCCACTTTGAACCTCTTCAAAGGAGAGGAAGAGTTCCTGTCATTGTGTCTCATTCAGTCTGCTTGTGTGTGTGTGTGTGTGTGTGTGTGAGAGAGAGAGAGACATATGAATTGGCTGTATTTACAGCACTGCTAATTAGATTCATTTTAATAAGAGTTTATTTGCTCAATGACCTGAGATGCTTTCATACAGTGAGATTATTTCCTTCTCAAATACATATTTGGGAAAATGATTATAAAATTGCTACATCAATGGTACATTTACTTCTTTATTCCCAAATATGAAATTAATAGT